ACACAATACGTACCAAGAACCAGGCTAGTCATTAATTTTTTTTCTTTAAATGTCTCATTATTGTTGTATATTGTTTCCAGCATCTTGTCCGGGAGGTTACAGTTCGCTTCGAGGAACTTGCTACAAGGCGTTTGCCATCTCGAAGGTATTCTGGGCCGCAAATGATCATTGCAACCTCGAAGGTGGCAACCTCGCCATGCCTAAAGACGCTGCTACAAATAACTTCCTCATCTCCCTCATGAAACCCTTCAACTACAGTTTTTTCTGGTTTGGACTCCATGATCAGGACAAAGAGGGAAGCTTTAAGTGGATCGATGGCACCGCACTTGGGGGCTTTAACTGGTGGAATGTGGGCGAACCGAGTAATTCTAATAACATCGAAGACTGTGCCCATTACCGCTGTGAAGGCAAGTGGAATGACATGCGGTGCAGCAAAGAGCTTTACTTCTTCTGCCAAGTGGCATCAGGTACTTCACATGAATATACCATTTTTTTGACACCGGCCCAAACTATCATCATTACTAACATAGGTCTGGATGCTGTTGAACTGTCCTTTGTCATGCGTGACAGGAACTTGTAGAGACAGTACATGGTGTCATCTTAAGGATGAACTGAACTGAACTGAACTAACTATCGGCACCACCGTTGCCAGGTTTTCACTAGACCATGTTTATAATAAACTCACCACCAATTGTTCATGGTGTGAAATTTTCTTTTTTACTCGTGCCGCGCTCCTCCTCCGAGCCTTAGCCAGTGCTTTCCGGTAAAAGTGCAATCGAAATCTCCTTACAGTGATTTTTATACGTTCCCTCCCCCCCCATTACATTAATTGCTTTTGAGAGACAGGTATTCTGAATACATGTGACATGTGACATAATGCTTTTATTCGGTGGATATAGCAACTGATAAGTCTTATCAAACCATATATACTGAGAACCAGGCTAGTCATCAATCATTCATTATTTTCTTTAAATGTCTAATTATTGTAATATATTGTTTCCAGCATCTTGTCCGGGAGATTATAGAAAGTGGCGAGGAACTTGCTACAAGGCGTATGCCACCCGGAAGGCATTCTGGGCCGCAAATGGTCATTGCAAACTAAATGGTGGCACCCTCGCCATGCCTAAAGACACTGCTACAAATAACTTCCTCATCTCCCTCACGAAACCCTTCAAGTACAGTTTTTTCTGGTTTGGACTCCATGATCTGGACAAAGAGGGAAGCTTTAAGTGGATCGATGGCACCGCACTTGGGGGCTTCAACTGGTGGAATGTGGGCGAACCGAGTGATTCTGATAACAGCGAAGACTGTGCCCATTACCGCTGCGAAGGCAAATGGAATGACTTGTATTGCAGCAAAGAGCTTTACTTCTTCTGTCAAGTGGCACCAGGTACTTCACATGAATATACCATTTTTTGACGCCGGTCCAAACTATCGACATCACTGTCATCAACTTGACCAAGTTTATTAACTCACCTCAGATTGTTCATTTATTTATTATCATAACTTCTAAAATTCATTTTATGACTTTTATTGATGAAAGCTTTTCCCATTTCTTTACAGGACGTACATAAGCGACAGACTGACCTCACATTTAAAAATACAAGATCAACAAAGTTAATCATCAGGCAGAGTGAGCCCGTTTTTCTTGTTAGATGTTCTAATGGGTTATCAGGGCTTGGCATTCATTTTAGAAACCGGCGTACCGGCGAAACCAACCTAAAACATTGGATACACAGAAAAAAATATGTTTGGTTGTACCAAAGAAAAATGAAATGCATATTTATACCAATCAAAGTACAGTTTGGGAGCTTTGAAAAATTAAAAAAAAATGAACCCAAATTCTAACTTTTTCTGACACATCAAGAATATGTTGTATACTAGTATGCAATGGCTTTACATACTTAGCAAACATACCAAAATTATTTGGGTGCACCAGAAAATTAAGTTAGGTGCACATACAGCCCAATTTTTTGTTGCACCAAGATGCACGTGCTCCCATTTATATTAATCATGTCAATTAAACCTAAATAAGGTTTCTGTGAAAAGTGTTGATTTTTAGATTGGTGAAAATTGAAATGTTTAGAAGCCAAGCAGCTGCCCTTGGGACTTATTCTTAAAAAATAAAATTGAATGATTTATTATATGAGTATATGAAAGGGGAACAATGTGTTTTACTTGTTTGAAATATTGTGTAATAGAGACTTTTGTAAACTTCAACTTTGTAACTTACAATCTGGTAAAATTAAGCTTCGTATTTTGTCTAATACTTTCACATTGATATGCGAATTCAACTTTTTTGTTATTTCAGCTTTAAGTGGACTTGGAATTAACTACAGACCATTATGATTTGCTGTATGGATTATAATGCTTTACTGCTATACCAGTACGTTATTTCGTTTCCATTGTATTATTCGCTACTTATGATTTCTGTTTGTTTGCGTTTCTCACTTTTGTTTTTGGATGACTTTTATCATTTGTAATAATGGTATGGCAGTAATAATGGTATGGCAGAAACAACGTACTACATGAAATTACTGTAATTCAACTGTAACTCAAATTAATTAAGGGTTAATGACCCGTCCCGAGGTGAATATGGTGTGATAAAGCCTTGTCAGTTGCTATAACCACGGCTTTATGGGGTGGTCATAGCAACTGTCAAGGCTTTATCACACCATATTCACCGAGAAAGGGCGGGCCATTAACGCTATTATCATATAGCTTACACGATAGCCTATCCAAACTGATGCAGTGAAGAGTGACACAATGTACAATTTACCCGTTGCACATGCTGAATAGAACATAGAATATTTGTTCCATCTGGAGTCACCTGAGGTCACTGAGGGGTTCACCTTCTATCTGGGTCACAGGCAGGGAACAGGTGTTCTTATGGGAGTCACCCGAGGTCATTGGAACTCAAGTTATTTTTCGATTTTTTTAGAAGAGAATCGAGGTCATATGCGGGTGATTATTCGGGTTGTTTAATGTATGGATTGGGATGAATAAATACCCGGTTTTGACTCTATTTGTGACATTACGGCGTCATAAGGAATGTGGAATGGAGCCTTCTGATTGGTCAAAGTCACCCGGATATATGATAATGTATTATAAGTAGTCATTCTTTTATTAATGTTGTATAGCAGTGTAATATTGTCGTTTGTATATGATTGTGTAGTATGTGTAATGTTGTTCTTATGTGTTTTGGAATCCAGGAAGACTAGTTGCTTTTACTGTCGCTTTTGCAACTAATGAAAATCTCAATAAAGTATCAAAGTATTATATCATGTTATTATGGGTTTTCCCCCAGGAATTCTTTTAAAAGCGCCATTAAGCGATACGTCTTTCCTGGATAAATAAATTCATTTTACAAGTGAAATAACAAGAGAAATGCAGCATCACAAGTAAAATGGTTATGTATAGCAACAATGGAAGTAAAGGCAAATGAATACTAATAATGGAAGTAAAATCATCCGCTCGCATGTTAAATGCCTGCACAATGATAGTAAAGAATGTAGCGATCTTTCCTTAATGCACATCAAGTCAATAATGTGCTTTTTTTTCTCTTGCCTCTATGTCAAGCAGAACATTATCACTCAATAAAATTTCAAGAAGTCACAAGTACACCATCATCAATGTGAATCATTGAGCCCTGTGAGCAAGCATTTTCCTAGATGTTCTTAGGGGTAAATTAAGTCAAATCTTATATTTAAGATGAATTATCAATGGGTATAACAGAGCAGCAGAGGTTCAGGTATATGAAATTATTCATACCGATTCAAGTAGTCATAGTACCGATTCAAAATACAAGCTTTCTGTTTCTTATCTTGTTTTGAATTGGTGAAATTGACATTTTCAGAAAGAAACAACTGTCGTGGGACTTATTCTTATACAATTAATGTCCAATGATTCAACATACATTATTTTAAATGATTATATAAAAGAAGAACAATGTGTTTCACGGAGAGGTCAGAGGTCACGGATCCAATACGGCTGCCTTTAGAGAAAGCTCCTAAAAGTAGGTGCACAACCCGTTGCAATCCTTTAATTAGCTGGGGAGGCTCCCTAGGCCCCATGTTTGTGACATTACAGTACTCGATAATATCTAAAGTATTTTTAATACAAGTTTTGGTTTATTTCGCACTTTCTTGGGATTTTTTTAACCGACGGATTACACAAGTGAAACCCCTTCCCACCATGCATCTCGGCAAGACAAGGACGGACACTCCACAGTTAGTTTTGTTAGGATTTCAACAATGTTTTCTTCCGTTCCTGTCATCTGCTGAACGTGACCACGAAGCCTCCACCCTCAGTAAATCTATGAGCAAGTGCCTGAGTATTTAAGTGCTCATTATCTCTAATCTTGCAAGCCCAAGGTACGCATGGTTCCTTAGCCTGAAGTACTCAAACACATGGAATAGGGAATGGATCAAATATTGCCCAGCTGGATTGTAAAGTGAACTTACCTTCGTGGAATACTAGAACTCTGTGGAAAGATATGGATTTTAAACTAGATTTCCTGGTAAAGAATTTGAATGATTTTGATGATGTATCAATCATCGGAATATCGGAAACACACTGGAATAGACATGTTAATGTAGAAGTCATTTGCATAATTAATGAGGACATGTTAAAATGAAATATTGCCAAAGGATAAGAATTTCTAACCCAAAATATCAAAATTTGATTTTAGAAAACCATAGATACTTCCATATACAATAAGACAAATCCTCTCAATAACAATTTTACAAAAACGCTACATATTTCATGGAGGTATGAGATCTCCGAAATCTTGTTTTCATTAAGTGTTTGTTACGACATGTCCTAATGAGTCTGGCAGAAAAAACACCTCTCGGTCCGGGTGCCGGATTTTTTTCTGACCCGACGTTTTTGGCATAATTCCGCCTGACAGCATCGTTATTTGTAACGTAAAACCACCGACAATTTCTGTGAATTCAAGTGGAAAACTATTACCTTAACAAGGAGACACCTGGGGAGGAAAGATGCGGAAGGCAGACAAGAAACAAGCAGGTGGCGCTCGGCACAACACCGCCATTCTCGAGCCGTATGCAGCGGCGGCCCTCCCTCCGAACTCTGCTTTCGATAGAGAAACTGGGATAACCGGGAATGAAGAGAAAACGTTACCATGTTCCCTGTACCGGAACAAACAGTCTCAGGCAGCGTCACATCTGTATGAAGATAAGGAAGACAACAAGGAGTCGTCACAACATGCAGGACGTAAAAATGAACAAGACAAAGACCAAGAAAACCCAAATAAGATGTTGCCACCGCTATATTCAGAGAGATTGGAAACTGAAAATAAGGCCTACCGACCAACGTCTTCTTTGAGGGAAAAACAACCTGCTGACATGTCCCAATCTTGGTATGCTGTTCCTAAACGAGCTAAAGGTATGTTGTTGATGCAATCTAAATTACGTATCAGTTTATGTACTTTGAGTTGAGAAAAACATTACACTATATTGCTATTCTAATCTTACTTCCATAATAAGATGAGGCATCAAAATGAAGCAAAAATTACAAAAAGTTCTATGTTTTAAGAAGATTTAAGGTCTCCGCATCGTTGTTGATTCCAGGACCGTTTGTCAAACATGGTGTTTGAAAATCTATTTCATTCATAAATTAGAGGTGTAACGTGATGTAAATATAATTAAATCATTCGTGTTTGAATTCGGTTTTCTGTTTCTTCCTTTCTCTACATAGTTTAGAAGTGACCAGAATTCCCAAGAATTTCATGTCTTATGTAGATTTGTTTATCTTAAAGAACGGATTTGTCCCTCTATTCACGTTGCTTGACAAATTTTTAACGTTAGTCCACAAAGGTGGTCAAATATTTGTTTTTAGTCCCCTTTATGTAGACAATATTTTTTTTGTCATCGCTATTTTTTTCTAATCTCCAAGCAGATCCCTTTCGGTAGCAAGACAGTATCCATTAGCCAGAGAAGGTCGCCGGCCGTACACATGTTGAAAAGCTAACGATCATTCCCCACAACCTCTGCTTGAAGTAGTTATTTTGTTTCGTAGGCATATGGACCGGTATCAGAAACACTAATCAAACCAAACTCCTCTTCAGTCTTTTTGTGTTTCTTTATTCTTTCTGTGGCTTTGTTTTAGTGGCTTTTTGTAAGGACATAACTCAGGTAGTGTAAACAGACCCAGGCTGTCAGTACACC